GGGGGGGGCAGGGGGAAAAAAAAAAAAAAAAAAAAAAAAAGACAGAATGCTGGTACTCTAGAAAGGAGGACCACAAGCCTTTTTCCTGCAATTCTCAAGTTGCAAAACTTAGGAGGTACATTACAACGCAGATTTCTACATGGCAGAATGAACTGTGTACTATTTAATATGTAAAATACTGGGTACCATCATCCAGGGTGCCATAAGAACCTGTTGGGTGTGCTGCAACACTGGCACTGCCACCACCACTATGCAGTAATGTGGCTCCACATTCCTTGGTTTTCAGGAGGCACATTAGAGCCAAGCCAGGAAGACCTGTAGCAGAAGTGGCACTGCTGCCTAAATAAATACAATGCATGCACAACTGGGGCTTTTTGCTGAGGCCACTTCTCAGTTTGGCTCCAATGAGACTCCTGAAAAGCAAGGCATACAGCGCAGTTTCACACCACAGCAGCATAACCACACCATGTCCTGTCCAAAGCCTCATGTATTTTTTTTGTTAATTCCTCAGCACTCCTCACCTGCCAGCCATGCATCCCTGGACTGTCAATCAGAGCTCCAGGACTGGAATTGAGGGAGGGAACTACCCTACAGTAACTAGAAGATAGAACTTGGTCCAATGGTTTCCAACCCCCACTAGTGACCTGGAGCCACATGTGGGGAGTCTACATGTGCTAGGCCAGACAGAGCTAGAAGAGCACTCCCCACCAGCAGCAGGAAGGGGTGAATAGAATTATCATTAATGTTATTAATCAACTATAATTAAAGTTGTGTTTATATTCTAGTATTCATAATGTGTTCATACTAGGTTTTTAATGGAGTGCTGCTAAATTCTGAAGAGTTTTGGAGAAGTGTCTCGAGTCTAAAAAGGTTGAAAACTACTGGTACAGAACATGCCATGCTAAATTGTTGCAAAATCTTGAAGTGAAACTACTCAAAATAGACCTAGAACCCAAAGCTAGTTTAATCTAATCTATAAACACAGAAGTGAAGACTACAGACAATACTGATAATTAAAATAAACTGGGTTACAGAAACAAAGTTAGTGGACAAACAACTAACACCCTCTTACCTATGGAAAGGGTGATCCCTGTATAAGATGAGCTGTAACTGGTGAAATCTCATGAAGTAGCTTGCAATGGACAAAATGGCACTTGCCGAAACAATGAAACCTTGTTTATTATAATTACAATTAACTTACAAAATCCTCAGCCTCAAATTGTTTGGGTTCTTCCTTGTCTTCCTTTTTCCCAGTTTCATTGTCAGGTACACTGTTTTCATGCAGTCCTTGACTTTTTCCAGAGTGGAAAGCGCTGGCACGAGAGCGAGACCCTCCGCCATGGTATCCCCCACGATGGTTTATGTTTTCCGTACTGTTCCTGCCTTGTGAACGCCAACCATTTTTCTCTTTTCTTCCAAAGTGTCCTTAGATTTTAGAGAAATATCATCACAACTAGCAGGATTGACAGAAGTTCTATGCTGCAGAATTGCTAGACAGGTTAAATTGTGATGAGCCAAATACTGTTCTACATTCCTTAAAACAACGGCAGAGTGGGACTCCCCCACAAAGGCAACAGGGTAGACCACTTTACCTTGCACTAAAAGGAACTTTTTTCAGTGCTAGAAAGCAATATATAATAGGGGTGTGGTGAAGAGGGTCTTATTCAATTCGGATTTGGCCCGAATCGGGGACACGTGATTCAATTCATTGATTCGGATCACTGTCCCTAATTCAATTCAGCTGAATTCAAATCTGAAAATTCAAGGCTGATTCAGAGAATCGGCAATTTGGACATAGACACAGCTTTATTTTATTTATTTATTTTATTTTATTTTTTAAACACACACACACACACCTCGAGGTACCAACACAGCTCAAATGCTGCAATGCTGGGGCAGATGGAGTGTCCCACAGGAGCGCATGGGGGGGGAAGGGGGAGCATGGGGCCTGTAAGCACTTCTGGTCCGGGGCTGCTGCTGAGTGCTTTGGGACCCCCACCGCACTCCTGTGGGACACTCCATCTGCCCCAGCATTGCAGCATTCATGAGCCACAATGGTACCTCAAGGTATGTAGAAAAAACATTTAAAGCTGTGCCTGTGTCCAAATCACTGAATCTTTCCGAATCAGAGGGTTCCGATTCGACTGAAAGAGATTAGAGGGTCTCCTGATTCAATTCGAAGATTCTGCCACCAAATCAAGCTGAATCGAATCAGGGACTGAAGCTCCGCACAGCCTTAAAAGACAGCCCAAAGGAATGCAGTCTGACAATTAAGTACAGTCAGATCCCTCTTCCAGCTGTGCATATTGCTATGTACACTACACTAGAAAAGTAGTATGCTAACATCCAGCTAAAGAGAAATGCAAAGCACTCAGCAGCACTAAGATGTGGAGGCAAGTGGGCACACTAGAAGGGAGGAATAGGCTGCAATCGGACCTAAACAGGTTACAGGGGTGGACGAATGAGAACAGGATGGGTTTCAACACTGACAAGTGCAAGGTGCTGTAGCTGGGGGGGAAGAACCAGCAGCATACCTACAGGCTGGTGAACTCCCTTCTCATCAGTGCAGAGGCAGAAAAGGATCTTGGAATCATCATTGATGCCAAGATGAACATGGGCCGACAGTGTGGGGACACAGTCAGGAAGTCCAACCATACCTTGTCATGCATCCACAGATGCATCTCAAGCAGGTCCAAGGAGGTGATACTCCCCCTCTATGCGACACTGGTCAGGCCGCAGTTGGAGTACTGTGTCCAATTGTGGGTGCTGCACTTCAAGAGGAATGTGGATAATATGGAGAGGGTCCAGAGGAGGACCACTCATGATCAGGGGGCAGCAGGGCAGGCCCTACGAGGAAAGACTACA